AGCGGCGCTGCCACCCTCCGACAGCCCCGGGGATCCCCCCCCCGCCGCCCGCAGCCTTCCCTTCGCTTTCGTTTCTCCTCAGCGTTCCCCCCTCCACGCCTCCCCGCCGCGGCGGGCAGCGCTCGCTCCCGTCCCGTCCCATCCCGTCCCGCCCCGCCCGCCTCGGCTAACCGCCGCCGACGGCTAACGGCCCCGGGCGGTGGGGAGCCAGGGGGCCGGCCGAGGTGGTCCCGTTCGGGGCTTCGGCGAGGTTCTGACGGACGGCAGAAAGTCTCCCCGCAGCCCCGGTCCCGGGGTGGCGGGGGGTCGGTCGCTGCCGGCTCTCCGGGCCGGGCACGGCCTGGTCGGGGCAGGGAGGAGGGCTGTGCTGCCGGGGGAGCGCTCGGCAGGGTCTGAGGGGGTGCCGGCGGGTTGTGGGCTCGCAGTTAGTCTTTCGAAGGAAAAGGGCTAAAAATGGAGTTTGGTGTTTGCGTGTATTGCTGTGGGCTTCGCGGGTTGTGTCGGCTGCAAGGCCAGCCCGTGGAGATCGCGGCGGGGCGTCGAGGCTGGTGTGGCCGCTCCTCATGGGGACGTGGCACGGGCGCTGGGGGTGGAAGGTCTCACGGGGGTCAGTCAGGCCTGCGTGGTACGAAACTCATCCGCCTCGGACTTCCATTTCAAGCAGATAACGTAGCCTTGATTTGCAAACCTTCTGGGGGATTCACTTTTTCACGTGCTCCGAGGCAATCCATAGTTTAATTCAAAATCACGCGGTGTTACGCGGTTTTGCTTTGCTTTAACCTGAAGCCTTGGACAATCTGTCAAGGCTGGTTTTGTTTCCTTTGACAGTTCATATTTGTCTGCCTTCCAAACTAACATCGAAAATGCACTGTCACCATTCTGAAACAAAGACGAATACGTGCGTACTCCGCCTCTCTCCTTTTGTCTCCTTGAAAATTTATTGTGAGTCTTGTCTTGCTACCTTCAGTACACATTCCCTGGGGTGGAAGCGTAGTAAGTTAGAAGGTGAGTACTTTGCATGCCTTTGAAAATATTAGGAAGCGAGACAGAAAGTTAATAAAAGGACTTGGGACAGTGTACTGTGGTGTAAGTACAGAAAAGTAATGACACAAATTATTGTACCACTAAGACTGGATGTACTCTACACCCTATGCCTTTTGGCAGTAGCATGTTGCTCATGTTCTTAATGTATAATTTGAACCTAATAATTCACTGATACTTCAGGTTTACATTCGAGCATTTTTTAAAAATAAAGCCCATCCCTTTTCATATTGGCTAATACTTCTGTACTACTCTGAAAAAGAGGTATCTTAGGTATAGGGAAAGCAAATGTTTGAAAAAAAACCAAACCAAACCACAAATTCATACTTAATCTTTCCATAGGTTATCTGTCTTCTAGTAATTTTGAGTGGCAGAAGTTTCTGGCTGAAAGAAAGGATTTATTTCTTTTTAAGTTAGAGATACAAAAATAACGGAACAAAATTAATATTTGAGTTGCCTTAATATATGCTGGTTTAAAACTTTTGTTTAATTACCCCTCAATATCAGGTGTCTTTGTTTTTTCCCTTGAAACAGAAAATTAAAAACTATGCAGGCACTATATCTAGACTCTTTGGTAAATAAATGGACTGCAGAAACTTACTGATGTTCACTGTATTTATAGAAGTAGAATTTGACATTTTTGTGTGTCAATAATGTAGTATTCTAGTTTGATTCCTTGTAGAAAGAGGACAGGATTCACTTTATTTTACTGATCAACGTTTAAGTCACATTGTTGGAAAAACATTTCATGCACCATTCTGCAAAATCTCATTATACCAACTATAGTTTTGTAAGTAGTAACTAACTCACTCTTAAGTGAGAGTTGAGTATTTAAATTCTTCACATGACTTTTTGCAGTGCCTGGACATAATTTGGAGCAAAAGAAAAAGACACATCGTTGGCTCAAGCAGCTGGTAACTTACTGTTTGGCAATTACTACCAAAGGCACTTTATTGCTATGTAAACATTTATTACAGCTCATGTGACGTTTCTTTATACTTTTATTGTAGGAGGCAGTCAGTAACAACATATAATTTGAGCAGTGATCTTTAATTTGTTTTTGTCAGCAGGATTAATATGTTGTTCTTCAAAAGATCATTAGGAGCTGCAAGGAGTAACAAATACAGGTTACTCACAAACTTGGGGGGAGCAATTTTTTTTACTGGACTTGAGAACATTAGCGTGATATTTCAAAGAAGATCTATGTATTTTGATTTATTGTGCTTTGGATAAATGATATTAAAACACTGGTGGTATAAAAATATAAAATAACTATGGACTTTAATGTAGCTTCACTGGATTTTTGTAGATAAAAAATTAGATATGACCTGGCAATGTGTGCTTGCAGCCCAGGAAACCAACTGTATCCTGGGCTGCATAAAAAGAAGCATGACCAGCAGGTCAAGGGAGGTGATTCTCCCCCTCTACTCTGCTCTGGTGAGACCCCACCCGGAGTACTGCCTTCAGCTCTGGAGTCCCCTGTACAAGAAAGACATGGACCTGTTAGAGCGGGTCCAGAGGAGGGCCATGGAAATGGTCAGAGGGCTGGAGCATCTCTCTTGCGAAGACAGGCTGAGAGAGTTGGGGTTGTTCAGCCTGGAGAAGAGGAGGCTCTGGGGAGACCATATTGCATCTTTTCAGTGCTTAAAGGGGTCTTATAAGAAAGACAGAGAGAGACCTTTTTACCAAGATCTGTAGTGACAGGACAAGGAGTAATGGTTTTAAACTGAAAGAGGGTAGATCTAGATCAAAGGAAGAAATTCTTCATTATGAGGGTGGTGAGACACTGGAACAGGTTGCCGTGAGAGGCTGTGGCTGCCCCATCCCTGGAAGTGTTCAAGGCCAGGTTGGATGGGGCTTTGAGCAGCCTGGTCTAGTGGAAGGCATCCTTGCCCGTGGCAGGAGAGTTGGACTAGATTATCATTAAAGGTCCCTTCCAACCCAAACATTCTATGATTCTACGATTCTGTGATTTAACAAAGTGATAGGACTAGTTTAAAACATTCATATAAATTTATGCTTGTCAGTGCAATATCATATTAGAATTATTAGAAAAATAGATATGTCAAGATGTGCAAATAATAACATCCATGTCAGTGATTTGAAAACATATGAAGGTAAAGGAAATAATAATGGAAGAGACCTAAAATAGGCTTTGCTGGTGGTACTTGTATCCGCACTTTTCTTGTATTTTATTCACAACCTGGTTTCCATGGATTTTGTATTTATTATATGTGACTGTTAATCACATTACATTCGGAGGAAAGTTAGGTAATTTCAATTGTCTAAGGTGCATAAAGAGATCTTCTGTGCCAAGTGTCATGTAAGAAGCTCATTGTTTTGTTCTGTTACCTACATAGCACTCTTCAGTTTTTAAAATACTGTGTCCCAGAATAAATTATGCCTTGGCACCTCCAATCTGAGAATGGTTATATACTGATCTTTAAACCCATCTCTTTCCCATTCCACTCCTCTTACTGTCCATAACTGCATTTTGATCCCCCCCAAAATGCACTCATTACTCGAATGCACTCCTACTGCCTTGTGGGTGGCAAGAGTCCTTGCTCCATGGACTTTTTCAACTTCTGGTGAAAAGTTTATTTATTTGTCATTGACGGGCATTCTCTTTCTAACAGAAAACACAGGTAGCTAAAAACAATTTGAGGGGAAGGGCTGGTTTGAAGGCCCAGGGATTGAAGCAATAGTGGGGCAATCACATTTTCTAGACACATAAGCATCTCACTTTGTGCATTGATAAAAAGAATATTGAATGGTACCTAGAAAATAGCACTAGAAAAAGAATATTGAATAGTACCTTCTAAATCTAGAGACATTACTTGCATGCTTTTCTGGTATTTGTATCTGTCACATCTAGACCATTTTTTCTGGTGAATCCATTCTCGTATTTAAACAGTGGAGGTTGGGGGTTTCTGGACTGGTTTGTAAACAGTCCTGGTTTTCTCTGAGAGAAGCTGACAGGCATTGCAATGGTTTATCTTGTAACAGCATGGTCCTGATACTGATTTGCTTCAGTCTTTCCCCTGTTATACTTCATGCACTTAAACTGCTCGCTGCCTGAGAAGTCCACAAGCACAGCTTGCTGTGCTCTTGCAGACAATTCCTGAGAAAACAAGAGTGTTTGGGCAAGGAGTAGACATCAGAGTGATCTCTAACTAGAAAGATTTAGACTGTGGTAGTCAGGTAAGTCAAAGAAGGTAAACGGCAGTTCAGAATATGTCCCATCCACCTGTTTTTATATTGATTATAAACAGCAACATAAATAAATTGTAAAAAATTGTGTTTACAAGAAAGCTGTTCAAAAACAAGTGTATGGAGAAGCATCATAGCTTAATTTAGGCAGATTTTGAAAGAGATCTAAATAAAATAAATGCTGGCTGCAATGTGCAATTCCAAACTCATTTGTTATGAAGTCATCTGGAACATGAAAGACATACTTGGAAGACTTGCCGCCCCCAAACATGTTGGTCTTTAGTATCTCTGCATGGTGTTCAGACAGATCCTGTGCAGAATAGTTATGGTAGCTCTTACTTCCCTGATTTGGTAAAGAACTTGCTGGAAGATGGAAGAACAAGCGAGATGAGAACATGACGGTAATGAAAGTCTGGAACGTGAGCAAGAGAGAGGTTAAGTAGTTCAGTTACTTCTTGAAATCTTGTATTTTGCTACACACAAGCACTGGGAAAAAAGCAGCCTTAATCCATGAATGGAATGCTTAAAAATTTTTTATTAACACCTGCCATCCTTTAGCAAACCCTACAGCAAAGCCAAGGGA